GATTCCTAAAATCCTTGACCATAGTCTTGTGGGCTTTCCTGCTTCGTGACCTTGAGCGACTGCGATTGGATTCAATCTCGGTAGGCTGTAGAACATCGAGTCCGTCGCAATCGCTGTCCATAGGGTCAATATCCTCCACAGTGAAATTACAAGCAACTGTAGCCGTAGCCGTTGAAGTAACAGTAATGTGAGAGGTCTCAGCCTCGTCTGTTGCACCGGATCTGTCGGATTCTGAGCCCGAGTCGGATTCTGAACTGTCTGAATCACTAGAGCTGTCGGTATCATCGTCGCCAAGCTCCATAGCAGAGTCGTCAATTGGCGAGGAGACGGCTGGGTCAGTAGCATTTCCCATGCTTCGTATGCTTGGACTTGCCGAATCTTCTTCATCCTCGTCTTCACTACTGCTGTCCTCATCACTGGCGTCGTCGGCCATGCCGGATGAGGAAGACGAGCGAGGGCTTAGCTGATGAGGGCCAACTGAAGGCTGATAGCTGAATTGATGTCCATCGCCAGTTGGCTTGATGTTAGGATCCGAGTCCAGTGACTGAAAGTAATCATGAAAGTCAGGTTGGCGCCGAGGTTTTAGACTGGTCTTGCGTAGGAATGGCGGCGATGTGGTGGGGGTTTCTGGTGGCGAGTTGGGGTCGGCGGTGAGAGGTTGATTCTGGACTTCTTGTACTTGAGCTCGAAGTTGAGTGACGTTAAGATTTGGCGTCGCGGGCCGCCGCCGAAGGCTCTTTTTTGGCGGCATGGCTGATGTGGTGTATAGATCGGTAGACCTTAGAGTTGAGGTCTAACAAGAAACGTATATATGGTATGGGACAACAGGAATCCCAATTGCGTCCAGGTGTTAACCTTTGATGGACGGACAGATAAGTCGTCTAATAAGCCTCGAGTCTTGGACTTGAGTAAGACCGTCAAAGACAAAGTAACTTGGGTCGATAAGGGTCTTATCGATCAACGACAAGTATTGGATGAGTAGTCGAGTAGTTTGGTTGGCTACGGTGTGGGGTAAACAAACGGATGGAGGCGAGCCGATCCGGAAGTAAAACGAAAGATATAATAGTAAGGTGAGGTGAGTTGAGGTGAGGTGAGATCAAGTGAGGTGTAGTTGAGTGAGGCGGTTTAGTCTGGTTTGAGGTTGAGGTACCAGGCAAGTGAACAACAATGCGTTGCCTTGCCTTGGTACGAAGAGGAAAGAGGACAAGAAAAGACGGAAGACAAAAAAACGGCAGGAAGAAAAAAATTGCAACCGTTGGTTACTGCAAGGCAAAGCAAATGCAGATGCAGTAGTAGCGGTAGCAATAGCGGTAGCGGTAGCGGTGCTGGCTGGGCTGGGCTGGGCTCAGTGCGTGCTGTACGAAGACGTGGGCGTGGGTGTGAGCGTGGGTGTTGACGTGGGTATAGTTATGCAATTGGATACAGAGACTGGGCTGGGTTAGGCCAATACTACGCGGGGCTGCCAGTCGAGTCCCAGTCCAGTCAGTTGCCAGCAGAGCATAGACGATGCAAGGCAATGCACCCAAGTGGCCGAGGGTGGGAGTGAAGAGGGGAACGTAGATGGAGTCGATTGGGTGCCCCAGTCAAATAAGCCCAGTCAAGTCCAGGCTGTTTGTTTAATGATGCGGTGGGTGATTGGCGATGGAATTGGTTGGGCGGTTTATTCTTTCAGGCCCTTGAGGACGTCCGAGGTGTTGTTTGACTTTTAAGAAAGCCAGCACTGACCTTGTAATTCAGGAGAGTCGCAAGTCGGTAGTAAAAATAGAAGGTCCAAGGAAACAAAATAGAAGAAGCGGAGAAGATGACAAGACGTGGGACAAACGCACAAGCCAAGTCGAGTCGAGTCGAGTCAAGGCCGGGTCTTGCTTGTCGCGGGGGGTGTCCCGTCAGGTTCAGTCAGTCAGGTAGGTCCTGGCTTGATTCAACTTTGGGCTCAAGCCAGTCGATACGATCGATGTCGATATTTGTGACGATCAATTGGTAGTGGAGAGGCAATGGCAGATATCAATGGATGAGTCTGCTGTGAGCAATAAACAGTAGCGATAGTCAGGGAGTCAGGACCCAGAGGAGAAACCTCCAACACGGAGAGGATGATATGCGACTGGTGTTTGGGGTCATGATAAGTCTTTCTTCAAAGACAGGCGATAGAGTCGTCCTAGAAAGGGGACAGGGACCTGGAGAGATATTCCTTCGAGATATCTCTGTCAGTCCGCTTATCGTAATATCGTACGTAGTGCCTCGTAGTAAGTTATATCGCTACTGCTAAGACCCAATTCTGTCTGTGCAGTACGGAGAAGGAAGAATCTCGTCGTCGAGATTAATAAGGTTGATGATGATTATTAATCTCTTTTGCCATTCACTTGAGAGAATCCAAGTGAAGATGACAAAAAAGGAAGAAGAGGAGGGAAAAGAGAAGAAGAAAAATAAAAAAGTGTGAGAAAGAGGAGGGGAAAGTGCCAGATAGAAAAAAAAAAGTAAAAGAGCACCTCAGATGCAATGCAAGTGAGATGCGGAGATGGCGAGCACCGACCGGAGCTTGTGGACGGAGGGAGTACCTTTACTGTAAGGTAGAGCAACGATGGGACCTTTGATAGGCTCGGCGGTGGTTGATGGGCAGAGACAAAAGATGAGCAAGTGAAATGCACAACAGATTGAAAAGACGATGAGCTATGTAGGTCACTGTATGTAACTACCATAACGGTACCAGCCTGGTACGGGATGGTACAGCGATGATCAAGTCTGCAGCAGCAGTGCTGTAAGTCAAAAAGTTAGAAGCCGATCAACGATGATGCCATTGATCAAATGACGATGGATGACAGGCAGACAGACAGACAGAAGACAATCAGTCAGGCCAGGCCAGTGGATAGATAAGAAAAGCCTAACAACAAGGAATGTCCTTGCATCTGAGCCTCAGCCGTGCTTCTAGTTCAAAGAATCTAGTCTAGCGCAGAGAGTTTCTGTTGCTCGGCTCTCTTTAGGAGCGAAGCGGCCTTTTTCGTCTTCGTGCGGAGGAGGAGAGTGGATGGACGATCAACTTGGACTGCCGGGGCCGGGGCCGGGTTCGGATCGGGTCTGTAAAACAACCACAAAAAAGAGGAGGTTGGGCCGTAGATAGTCAATGTCTCAGTGGATGAGGCCTAAGAGGTTCAACTAAGACTCTTTTCTGGTCCCACAGACTTGGTCTTGGCCTGGATAAAGAGGCTCCGGGTGAATTGAGGGCCTGACAGGTCTAGATCGAGACTGATCGGACGGTTTCGTTGTCACGCAGGCAGGTCTTGTCTTAATACAGGTTTATGCAGTCGCCTCTTTTTTACACTGAAGCTGACTGAAGGGGTATCCAGATTGGGGGTCCAAAGTGGATGTGGTGTATAAGTAAAAGTGATCAATGTGAAATCAACAAGAAAAGACCCGACACTTGTATAATGGATATCAGAGTTGGCATAGTAGAGGAGTCTATGCCCGTGGTTAGTTATCCATATTTTACTCCTAGGCATTGCCTTTATATCAGTGCCAACAAGTAACCTTGGCCAGTCTTGGCTCTCAATATAGACTGTGATACAATGCGAATCCTCAGACATGGAACGGCCCGCTCTGTCCATTCCACGTCCTCAAAGATTCATGTGAAAACAGGGACTCAACTCTCACCGAGCCCATTCTAAACCAGCCCTGCACTAGCGTCGGGTCTCTGCCAACACAGAAAACAACCTTGAAATGGAAGTTGAATGGAAAAACCCTTGATCAAGTGGAAACATCTAAAAAAGAACCCTTGCACGATTCAATGGATCCCACAGATTTCAAGACCTCGGAGTGAAAAGCAAAATAATCACTCAGTGCCCAAAACCAAACACAACTTCTTCTAAGCGCCGTCGTGGACCAACCCATTTTATCAGATCCATACGAGGGGGCATCACCGACATCCATGATTTGGGCATCAATGCTCGAGGTAGGGTTCAGTCTCTGTGTGTTTTCTCTCTCTCAGTCATTGTCTCCATCCACAGGGAATCGGACAAGGGCATTGTTTGTGTTAGTCGATGGGAACCACTGTTGAGACTTTTGACACGTTGGTATGACTCTTAAATTCTGGAGACTGTGCTACATGCCTCACTCATTGTGCGCGGTAATTATTTGTCTGTCGATAAAAGATGCAGTAATGTACAGACGGTCAGATTTTGATTGATTCATTCAGCCTCGACGAGGTCTTGTCTGGCCTCGTAATGCAATGCATGAGTTGTCAAACATCAAACGAATAAGACACTCGGTGAGATGCAAAGCAACGCACAACAAAAGAGAGAAAACACATGATACGTTACCAGCTTGAAAATCGAGGTACAGACAGTACAGTACTTGAAGGATCATGAGGGTACTGATACCCCATTGTTCGGTACCGAGACGCAGACGCTGTTCAACGGCCCATCATCGTCATCACACATTTGCGTATTCCGCTCCTGCGAGGAATCGAGTCGTCTGTCCTGCAGAGTCTGACGAGAACGGGTTTTTGTCGCGCGTGCCTATCGCGAGGGCACACGTCTGAAGGCATCATCGTGTAGCATTGGGGGAGCTGCATCGCACAAACGGGCTAAACTTTCGCTTATCGTTTTGGCATTTCTAGCTGAAGTCGATGAGTCTAGTCAAGATGAGCATCGTCTCATTTGTGTGGCTTGTGCTGCGAGTGGTGATCCGACTGTCTTAGTCTGATGATATAGCGTGAGTGGCATGCGTTCAACAGACAGAATGTCACACACAGTAATAATCTTATAAAGACTGAAACTGTCTAAAGCCCACGTTATCATTGTAGTGTAACTCTAAATTTGGATCATGATTGAGGCGTAGAATGAATGACATCCATCAACCGTTCCATTCTATCCCGGATCTGAGCGGGGACAAACGGGCTGCCCCGCTTCCCCCGTCTCAGCGACCGGAGCCGCTGAAACTCAAATCATGAGTTCATTGGCCCGTAATTAAATCAACAAAACAAATCATTTCCTTACACAACCAAAACCATGGTAAGTAATTGACCAACAGATGTTCAATCGCACGACCGTCGCGACTAACATGCGCTCTTTTTGATAGGCTCCAGATCCAGAACCGCAAGTGCGCAAGCGCGGTAGGCCTGCAAACGCGTCCAAACAAGCCCCCAGCGCGTCGCAAGATCTACCAGACGAGTACGAAGCCGATGTCGAAGAAGCTGCACGTCCGAAACAACGAGGACGACCGAAGAAAACAGCGCAGGAAGATGCGCCCGAGGAAGAAGTAGCGCAGGCGGAGAAACCCAAAAAGAAGCGTGGTCGACCCTCACTGGAAGATAGGAATGCGCAGAAGTCGACAGAAAATGCAGCGCAACCAAAACGAAAACGCGGTCGCCCTTCGCTAGAGAAGAATCAGGATGAACAAGAAGCTGAGCCAGAAACGGTAGAGGAGACAGCCCAACCAAAGAGGAAGCGCGGACGCCCATCTCTCGAGCAGGGTCAGAATGAGGAGCCTGAACAGGGAACAGGAGATGCTGGAAAGCAAAAACGAAAGAAGAAGTCGAAGGAGACACAGATTGAAGAGCCGGAAGAGCAGCTAGAGGAGGAGCCCAGACCACGAAAAAAGGGTCGCAAAGCAGCTCAACAACCTGAGCCAGAGCCAGATGAACAAGAGGCAGAACTAGAACCAGCACCAGCAACCCGAAAGAGACAGCGTCGCGGAGCGAAAGAGCCCGAGCCCGAACCTGAGCGTGAAGAAGAGGAGCAACGACGACGAAGTCCACGAATTTCCTTGCGTGATCTCGGCGAAGATGCCAACAACAAGGGCAGCAAGGCTGAAAGGTCTAAAAAGAAGAAGGACCGTGTAGCACAGGAGAACGCAGAAGATCAACAACCCGAAGAAGCTCCCAAGAAGCGTGGCCGCCCAAAAGGGGGAAGACCATCAACTGAGAACGCGGATGAACCACAAGAAGAGCCACAAGAGACGAACAAGAAGAAAAGTCGCGGCAAAGAGAAACAGGATGCACCATCCGACTCAGACGAATCTCTCGCCTCTCCGCCAAAGCCATACATCCACATTGCTCCCTTCAAACGCACAATCCGCTCCTCCAAAGTCGCTGCAGACTGGACCGGTCTATCGGGAGCATCACTTCCCACTACTAAATCCATCCTCAAACTCGCCCAGCAACCTATCCTGCAACGCATGGCCCCAACGAACAACCGACGCACCCACGCCTCTGCAGCATTGCATCTCGTCTACCGCCGCATGGAACGTAAACTCGCCCGTGGCCTGCCCTTCCCCCCTGGGAATCCATCATCAAAGACTACAAAACGGCGCCTAGATGCTGATGGGGGTCGTGCGCTGGAGCTTGATTTTGAGGCGGTGCTCGATGGGAAAGCGGCGTTGGAGAGACAGCTTGTGCCCGGGATGCATGCCGTTGAGCTGTTGAAGATGGAGAAGGAGAGGATGGAAAGAGAGCTTGAGAGGGACTATGAAGAGCTGAGAAAATTAGAGGCAAATGCGAGGGCGCAGACGAGAGAGCGGAAGGAATTGTTCCGAAAAGCTCATGTTTTGGCACCGACATCAAGACCAGCCAGCAAGGATCATGACACAACTTTTCTTACTGACACCAAAGATGAGGGAAGCCTCAAGGTAAGTTTGTTCCATGACATTAGCTTACGACCGAAGAGCTCACAAAAACAGGACATTATCAATACACCTCTTGAGCCTATAGCCCTGCAACTAGCAGACCACGTCGAAAGCATCCGTGGTAACCTTCAGCAAGCTGATGGGCTCACACCACAACTGAGTCGGACAAAAGCTGCTTTACAGGATGTGCTACAGAGGTACCTAGATGAAGGAACCTATGAGCAGGTTGTCCTTGGATAAGTGCTCTGTGTAAGATATGAGATGATGAAATAAGCTACTTGGGCTATGCATGAATGGATGAGCAAGGCGTTAAGATTACTGTTTGGATGAGTTCGCATATACGCATGGCCTTAGCTGAGCGTCAGAGTGCAGGTACAGATAATATCCAGAAATGAGATTCTTTTTTTTCAAAAGCCATTGAAGGGCATTGCGTTCATAATTTATTGCTTATGTTGTCTCAAATCTTCACAACTACATCTTCATGAGGCATGTGTGGTATAAGAACCAAGATGTATATGTGTATAAGACTCAATGAGACAGGAAGCGGTCTATGGAACCGACATTCCAGATAAGCATAACCCAAGTCTATCTATCTACAAGCGCTTCCATATACCAACCCCATCCGTGCTACAGTCAAAAGGGAACAAGACCAAGTAACCCGAGAGGGTATTTGTTGTGTGGACCAGATAAGACGAAAGTTCATGATTCTCATTGAATTGATTTTGAAGAAAGAAGCAGCAAAAAAAAAAGTAAATTGTCATACATCCAGGAGAGTAGTTGACCTATACAAAGATGTTCCCCCTTCCACTAGATGCCTAACCAAGAAGTGACCAAATGGTGAGTAATGTACAGATGAGACTTCATATACATAGGAGTTATCTCAAGACATTTATCGGAGACGGCGAGAGAAGCCAGTGGGCTTAGCGTAGCCACCGGTGGCAGTGTTGTTGACGGGGTAAGGGACAACGGTGACAGTAGCCTCGAGGGTGGTGGTGGTGTCGCAGAACTCCTCCTCGTCATCGTCGTCCTCAGAGTCATCATCCTCAGAGTCATCACCATGGACAGCCTTGTCGGTGACGGTGGCATCATCAGAGCTACCAGTCTTGCTGGCCTCAGGGACAACAGTGACATAGACGGTGGAGGCAGGGGCAGTGACAGTGACGGTCTCAGGGACACACTCGCCGTTACCGTTGCCAGAGCCAGAGCCACCGTTGTTGGATCCGTTGCCGGAGCCGTTGCCAGTACCCTTGGAGCCCTCCTCCTCACTCTTGCCGGTGCTGTAGCCGTTGTCACCGCCGGAAGCGGGCTTGGTCTCACCGACGCGCTCAATGGTCTTGGTGACGGTCCCAGTCTTGGTCTTGGTGGTGGTAGTGGTGGTATCATCCTCGGGGGTACCGTTGCCCTTGGAGCCGTCATCGGTGACCTGAGGGCCAGCAGGGACGGTGATGGTGGTCTGGAGAGTCTTGTGGACGGTGGTGGTGATGGTCTCGTCACCCTGGGTAAGAGTGACAACCTGCTCGGTGGTGTAGTCGGAAACGACGGTCTTGTCGCCCTCCTTAGGGGGAGGGTAAGCACCGCCGGTGGTCATGGGGACGGAAGCGGTGTAAGGGGCAGTGAGGGTCTTGCCAGTAACACCACCGGTCTCAGCATCGTGGAGGACAGAGGTGTAGATAGAGCTGGCGTCAGCGACGGGGCAAACAACCTCAGTGAGGATAACGGTGTTAGTCTCAACGTAGGTGACCTTGTCGGACTCGGGGAGCTGAGCAATGGCAGTGTGGTCACGAGCAGGGCAGTTGGTGACGGTAGGAGCGCAGCTGGTGATGGTCTCGACGACAGTGGTCTTGACGGTCAGAGTGGTCTGGGTGTCGGTACCGTTGTCGCGGCGGTAGTGGGCGTGGTGGGGGAAGTTGTAGGCGTTGGCAACGGCGGCAAGCATGCCGATGGAAGCGACAACGGACTTCATTTTGAAGATTGAGGTGGTTTGGATGTGGTGTGGTTAGGTGATTTGATTTTGCGGTAGCTTCAGATTTGTCTATGACAACGGTTTGCGATGCGATTCAAATGGCCGTAGAAGTCAATTCCACAGTCAGGCAGCGAGCAAGACACAGTTTTGCTTCACTAAAAGAAAGGATAGAGTTGGAACGTGAGAAACGCTGGTTGCTGGAATGCTGGAAGGATCGTAATGGCAGAAGCCGGAAATGAATGGAAAGTCACGATAGAGACTGAACGAGTGTGGTGGTTGTGATAGACAAGACTGAGAAGCCGGATCTGAGGTGAGGCAGGAAGCGTTAGATATTAAGAGAAACCAGAGTCGGGGGCGTAGTACCAACTGGGCTGGAACGCCTCTTTTTAGCTCAATGTCTCTTGCAGGGGAGTAGACTGCAACCACAAAACACCGGACTGCCAAGATGCTTTGAGCATGGGTGGTGTTGTGGTCCACCAGGAGGCCCCTTGGATTAAGAGAGGGCCAGGGTCTGCATCTCGAGTTTGGGCCCTGATCAGAATGAGACGGAGATGTACCCACTCGGGCACGTTCCCTTCAGCGACTGGTGAGCCATCTTCGGGTCTCCGCAGCTGGAGGGGATGCGATTATCGCGAAGGATCATCGAGAGCGAATGCTACGCATGCCTACCGTACAGTACAGTACATAGCTGAACGATAGGAGTAGCGACAGACTAGCTAGGCGACGAGCCAGTGCCAGGGCTAGGACCATGCACCTGAGCTAGAGAGGCTTATTCATAGTAACCCTTCGTGATGAGCGTGCGTATCCTTCCTTTCATCTTGCTTGCGCGGGTTGGTCGGTTACTGCGGCGTTGACGTTGTTGAGATGAACATGGATGTGATTTGATTGGAGATGATGGAAGAGTCAAGACCAACCGTTGGAGAAGGATGAGGTTCAGATGTCGGTGGGGCGTTCTAGCTCTTGCCTCAAGAGGAATGGTTCAGGGGCGCGGTAGGCTTCTCGGGCCAGGGTCCACGGGGTGCCTGACTAGGGGGGTTTGGGGCTAAGGAAGCGCTTTTTGGTGAGCGAGCACCCTGTAATTTAGCGATATTATTCCAGTTCACTTGAACCTTGGTCGATTTTGATGATTGTTCATGCTATATGAGCATGATCATGGGTATTCTTACGGTGTTGGACCACAATTACTCGAGACATATGCTGACTCTGGCTGATACATAACACAAAAGGTTATGTTTCACTCTGTTGCGTTGTTCATCTTTTATTCTCTCTCTTAGTGAGATCGAAGAGCGCCACCACGTCACTTTATGCAGGTACCGTGCAGAACCTGAGACGCCACGCGGGCCAATTAAACCTCCAGATTCTTAATCACCGCCATCCCGAGATTTCGTTGTTCTGGCGCCCGCCACATTTTGGTCTAGGGCAGCGAATGAGAGATGGCCACAATCATCGTCAAGTGATGATTGTTTCGAGGAGAGCTCTATCTGTACACATGTTGCACAGCATAGACAACAGCGCGTAAGTCAGGTGAGGCTGCTTATTTACATAGAGGCCGGAACTGCTGCAGTGCACATATACCCCTAGGTATGCGCTGGTACTGCCCGTCAGCGAGGTAATTTCAGCCTTGTACGCTGTAAACGCCAGAACCTGCAATATGCCGTCGCGCGTACCTGTCTAGGCCACTAGAAATGTCCGACGGGATCGACAAACCTGGCACGCAGGATTAGTGCAACTTTGACAACTAAAACTCGAGCCATAACCGGATACCAGAGATTCCCGAGGCTTTGGAGCAATCTGTACCTATCTAGGTCATCCTGGCGCAGTCTTGCTCCTCCAAGGAGGTCCATCGTCAAGGAAACGAAGAGCCCAGAACCCAAAAGTCAAACACTTTTCTCACATGTCGAGACTGTCCCTGGCAAGCTGAGAAGTCGATGGATAGAGAAGAGAAAAAACAGAAACAAGTCCCTTGCATGCTTGACCGCGATTTGGCAGAGTCAGACAGAGTCCACTCTCTTATGCAGGCTTCCACCAAAAAAGATCTTTTCTTCCCTGCCAAGCATTTCCTCGGATCTAGAATGACTCAGATCCCGGATTCCAACTTCCGACCTTTTCTGTTCTTTTCTGATTAGAGACTATGATAGTGACGAGTGATCTGAGACTGGTAGCTAAGCCTCATCGGCATACGGCAGTCAATGAACTACAGTTCCTACACTAACCTCTAATAATAGTAGATTCGCAGACAAGATTGGTCGAGTCGTATGTACAGAGGCACATGGGTAGATCATAACTGGAAGTGAGCATCAATTGCCGATCCTCCAGAATAGAATCAGCCAGCCAGACTGGTCACTGAGCGGTGTTGGTTACCCAATCTGGTAATTGGATTCTTGTTACGCTTTCTAACAGGCTCTGACAGCGTTCATCTAAGTTTTGCTCGCTTGGATGAGGCAATTTTGCATCGATATGCAGGTACAGATCCACAGATTGTCATCTCCGTCTTCTAATCTCCATCTCCAATATCAGTCATCATCTATAGATCAAGATTCCCAAGTTGCACATATCTTACAACGAATATGTCTCATAGAAGACTTCAGAAAAGCCACGTCCCTTCGTATATGTTTCACTTCTCAGCCGCCTCCGGCCAACCCGTCCCCCGATGCCATCCCTGTCGTTTCATCAAAACCCCTTGGTCCCTGTCTCGTCTTGTCGCAGAATAACAAGTTACCAACTTTGTTTCCCCACTCGTAAATTACTTCTTCCAAGTCCCCTCCTTGTTCTGTCTACCACTGCGGTTCCAACAGCTTGTTTATGGCACGTTGACGGCTTGTCATCTCGATAATGTCGTCCTCGTCTTCATATATCAAAAACACCCCAAGCAAGGGTTTAAAATTCTAGGGACGCTTTTTTTTACTCCTTTTCTAGATTTTTGCGAGAATGTTTATTATTCGGCTCATTTTAAACATTCAAGCCGCGCAATCGCTCATCTCATCTCGTCTCGTCTCGGTAATCACTCATGCCCATAGGCAAACTTGGCCTTGGCGGGCGGTTCTACTGTTGACCAAAGTCCCAACTTATGCTTGATACATGCTAAATAGATTGTCGGGATATGCTGACTGCGAATCTCATCTCATCTTCAAGGCACAGTCACATCAACCATGAGGCACTCGCGCCAGGTAACTTTAGGCCATGTCAATTCTAGCCCTGCCGTCAGCTGCAGTTGGCTGCATCGCCAGGGAACCTCAAATCCTGCATGGTGTCACTATCCACAACTCAAATGCGCTGC